ATGGAGAAAGAAAGAGATCAACACATCATCCAGAGCGAGCAACAGAAGTACACCAAAGCACCAAAGGGGTGGCATATTGTGAAATAGAAACATTATTTTTCCACACAAACAGTGGGAAAACTTGCCCTTCAGTAGCCTTGCAAGGGGGGAATTCTATTGGAAAATTTCTGCAAAGAGGCTTTGCCTCCCTTTCTCCACCTTTGATCCACTTCACTTAACTCCCTTCCTCCAGCACACATGGGACATGAATAAGGAGACAAAGTTCTTTGGGTAAATCTAATATATTTTATTAGACCAAGTGAAATAGTTGGAAAAATTCAGATGCTTCCTCAACCTGAAGAAGGGTGTTTGTACCCAAAAGCTTGCAAAGAAGAATTTTTCCAACTATTTTAGTAGTATCAGTAAAAAATTTATTGGATTTACCCAAAGAACCTTGTCTGTCTATGTCCTTAGACCAACATGGCTACAACAAATACCCCTGAAGCATGAATAAGGATGCACTTAAACCTATGCTACACGTAGCAGTTAGGAGCAACACAGGAAGAAACAAAGAGAAGGGTATATTTGTTCCTGGTCTGAATAATGACATAATCAAGAGCAAAGCAGTGTATGCCAAGGGCTAATTTCTGCCCTAAAAGCAATCCCTGCATTTTGACATTTCAGGATTTTTCCACATGGACAGACAGGCTGAGAAACAGCTATGCCAGTTTCTTCACAGCAAATCTCTGAGCTGCCAAGTGAAACTGGGTGCTGCACAGGAGGCAGAATAGGTACCCAGCCAAAATTCTAGTAAGCCCAAACACCAGGCTAGTGAACTCAGAAAAGAAAGAAAACTGCTAAGACTTAGTGTCAGGTGACACTAGTGTTGGCTCTGGAATGACAACTGTCTCTAGATATCTAAGCTCACTCTACTTACTTGCACAAAACCAGGAAAAGCTAGGTACCAAACAGTATCCATTACTTTCTTTTTCTACTGTATTTCCAACATTTTTGCCATTTGCACAACAAAATGTTTTGTGATATTGCAACCCCTGCCAAGGAATACAGAGCACATGCCAGAGATGTCAGTATTGATCACCACATTTGGGACCAGGAAGGAATTTTACCCCATGGTCAGACTGGTATGGACTGTGGGGGAGTTGCCTTACTCTGCAGCAGGGGGTGTGGATCTTCCTTGGCTCTCTCAAGTGTATTTTACAGCAGCAAGGGCATTGGCCACTGTTGTCCCCCTGCCTTACCTGTAGCAGGTTAGATTGCTACACTTTGTAGTTGCACGACAGGGTCACCTGTGCAGTTTTAGTAATAGGTTAGGCAAGGATTTGCTTGGGATGTTTTGGATAGGGTTGATCTTGCCTTGAGCAGGGGGTTAGACAAAATGACCTCCTGATATCTATTATGCGTACTCTTCTGTTGTGACAGTTTTTACAGAGTCACAGGAAGGTTGTGAAGGGTATGCATTCTTGCCCTGCATACTACATTTTATGCAACTTTTGAACAAGCTTCATGCTACTCATGATTGTTGGTGAAACAACCAAAAAAACCATGTCTGGTTTATTTGCACAGATGCGTACTCTGTCCACAGCTAATAGTAAACTTGGAACACATTATGATGCCGATGCATTGGAAAGACAGCATACACCTTCAAACAAACAGTATATCTGCACATACAGGACACATCTACACAAGACATTTACTGCAGAGTTGCCTAATTAGCTCTGTAGTAAACATCTTGGCATTTATACATGTGGTGCTACTAAGCCACAGGAACTAATAAACTCCACAGCAGGTTAGTACTTGTATACAAACACTGTCCTCCTACAGAGTTTTTTTGTGCACAGCAATGCAAGTGTAGAGGCTGACCCAGCTGGCTGGGGCATGAGGGTGCTTCAGTGCAGAGACTGCCTGCCAGCTAACCCTGCACTGAAGCACCGTCATGCCCTAGTCAGCCCCTCCATAGTGCATTGAGCCAGGTCAGAGAAGCCTCGGACTGGTAGGCTGACCTCCCCAGGTCCCCTGCCAGCCAGGGCTACTCTGACCTGGCTCAACATGCTGTGGTCCTGGGTGCCAGTTTATTGCTGAGCATTAATAAGCACATGCAGCTATGCCCACGGAGTACTTACCAGATTCTAATCCACCACAGTTGTAAGGATATTGCACAGAAAGGCACAGCTGCAAACCAATCTGGGTCTTCCCAGCAGAGCTCTCACCAGCCAGCTCTGTAATTCCCACCAGAGGAATGCCACCTCTTAATAAGTCATCTAGTACTGGGCACCCCAGGCTCAGTTTCTGGTGTTGGGAGGTGTGATGATCTTTGTCTTGGTAGAGCTGAAGTGCTGGACAATATTAAAAAAAAAAGAAAGAAAGAAAGAAGAGTTCCACTTAGCATTTTCCTAATGAAAGACAACAGAACAGAGCTGCCATATTCAAGTTAGCTCCGAGTGACACTTTTTTTAAAGAAGTCTGATTTTCTGATTCAACCAGTTTCCCTCCGATACCACCACCCAATAATCATCTGCACCAAGGAATCTGCTTGTGAATGAACACAGCCCATATTTACTACCTCCTTGCACATGAACTTTCTTCCTTTTATCAACATTTTGTGTAGCGGACAGCTAAAAGCAAGGGAAGCCTTGTCTGCATGGCTTCAACTGCATAATTATAACTAGGAAATGGAAGGGAGCTGCAGGACAGGAATCTGTGTGAAGCCAGAGAAGACTTCTGGCCAAGTCCCAAAGATCCATGCAGGAAAGCATAGGCTCTGGGAGTACTCCCAAACTACTGCACTTAATGAGTCTGGTAGGCAGCTGGGATGTTTACCCCTGAATCCCCCTGTAGTAATTTAGTTGAAACTCTCTGAAGGAGAGAGAGGGAGAGAGAGAGAGAGAGAGAGAGATGGGGGAACCTTTCAGAGTTCATCCTTTGGGCAAGTTTTTTCCAAGTAGAGGAATACTTTCATCCTCTATGTGGGCCTGATTCTGAAAACCAACTGCCAGCCATTGCCATTTATATTCAGCATTGTAAATGGTACAGCTTTGTTTTCTGGACTGTATTTATCAGCATTTGTTATCTGTAGTCCCTACTTGGCTCCTGCTTTGCTAGGCATGCACAGTAAAGATTTCCCAAAAGCACTGACTTGAGAAATAATTTTTCAATAAATTGTTAATGGCTAGGCATTAAAATACTTGGTGCCTTACCTCACCAACAGCAGATCTCTGATCAATATATAGAAACCTCTTGTCATAAGTCAGAATTCTATTTAAATTAAATCCTTTGTTTTAAATGACAATATTACCTGTAAGCATACAATTTTTCCTCACTGCATGAGAGACTGTTTTCAGTAAGCACTGTACATCCATTCTGGATAATTTTGTCAGTCTTTGCAAATCCGCTCCAGAAAGATTCAAAACCTCTTTTATTGATTTTATGTTAGCTGAAATTAGAGAAAGTCTTATATAAATGCTTTCAGATTGACTGAGGGGCAAGGATTTCTTAGGGTGAGATCTCTTATTGGAACAACTATGTCTGTCATCCTGCTCCTAAAAAAAAAGAATTTTTACTTCCTGGTGTTCAAGTATTGGTAAAAAAATGAATTACCATTCTTTTCTGCATTATAATTATTAGTTATTTTGAGTGGAAAGACAAGCACAGGTTTTTATAGGAGAATTTTTGAGTTTCTGGATGGCTTTAAGACACATCAGCTGCCAACAGTATCTAGGAAAAGGAACCAATGTTCTGGTGCCTTGAAGGGGAGCTACTGTGCAGTACTGTCCTTTACTTTCTAATGTCTTTTTGATCCAGGCAACAACAGGGACTACATGTGCACTGCAAATAAGAAAGGAGTATTCTGAGTCTTCAGATTTCCAAAGTCTTCAAGAGAAGCCAAGAGACTGCACATGATGTGCTCTGAACCTAACAGCAATATGCATTTTGAGTTTATCAAAATCTTACAGGCGTGGCCCACCAAATATTTATTACATTTCCATATTTCTACATGTGCAGGTAGATACTAGAATGATAAATACAACAGGAGGGCAAAAACAGAGAGATTGTTACCTTTCTTAACAGCAGCAATAACTTTTGGGTTCATGTCAAACTGGTCCCAGTCCATTTCTTGAAATGGTACTGTAATGAGCCAAAGGATTTGCTGTCAGTTAAAGTATTATTAACTTTACATAAAATACAGAATATTAAATATGATTTATTTTATGTAAGCATCTTTGAGGGGAAAGCCTATTCATTCCTAACAATATATTAATCCATAATTTTAGAAAGACAGCACTAGTCTACGGGCAATTGTTTTTCTCTAACAGACCTTCTGAGGTTTCCAGTACCACTGATGTAATTCAGGATTGGGAATGACTTCTGTTTTCAGTTGCTTGTAGATCTGCTATAGGCCAGTTGCTTTGGGCTGTCTTGGCAAACATTTTCTTGACCTAGAGAGAAATATTGATAGTTATGAATTATTTTTGTTACTCTGGTTGAATGATGTACCAAACATTTGCCAATTAATAGCTTACAACAGGGCTGTCCATCTGGTGACTCGCATGGCCTGAAGGGCTATACTGTAGTGACTCCCAATTCCCTCCCAGGTGTCCCTCCCATTACTCCAGCTGCCTATTGCTGTTCCTGGAGCCTCAGCTCTTGCACGTCCTGTCTCAGCCCTTGGAGAAGATGTGTGAGGAGCCCAGGGCCCTGGATCCAGGCAGTCCTGCGAGGCCAGGAGGAACACAGAAAGGCACAGGATGTGTCCACTTCCTGAAATGCCCCACCACGGACATGGGGCAGAAACACCCTTAAAGCACCAGTTTGAACACAGGAACCTGTCTGCACGCTGGACTGCAGGCCGGGCCTCAACAGGGACTCCGGCCCAGAGCTCTGGTGACTAGCTTCACTCCTGGGTGTTGGCTGCTCCTTTGCTTTCATTTTCCCCTCTTCCTCGCCTGCTTCTCTTCCGCTTTCCAGTTCCTCCCATGCTGCTTTCTGCACTCTCCCTGCACCAGCTCGGGCTCAGGAAAGCTCCTGCTCTGCCCCTCTCCAGCCACCTGACCTAGCTAGCCTGCAAGGTGCACCTCTGCCCTGCCTTCACACTAAGGGCTCATGCCACGTCTCCCAGCCTCTCTGAAGCAACCCGACGCGAAAACAACGCCTCTCTCCCGCTGCCAGGCGCGCCCAATGCGAGCCAATCAAGAGAGCGACGTCATCGGGCGAGGGCCAATCGGAGCACCTAAGGTGAGTCCTACCAACGCGCCGGCCAATCGGAGAACATCGCTGCAGAGAAGGCGAGGAGCCCAGCGCTGAAAGGAGGGGGTCTCCGCGGCCCCGTCAGCCGACAAGCGAAAGGCACTCAGAAAGCCCTGTGGAGCATCCTCCAATCAGAGCGGGGAGAGTCCCTGCCACAGTGCGGGCCAATCAGAGTGCTCTGAGCCGGGGACGGGATCAGAAACCAACCAATGGGTGTGGCCTGCGGGCGCTCCGGTTCGCTGATTGGCTACAATAGGCACGGGGCGGAGCACCTCGCAGGCGGCGCTTCCGGCTTGGTTCCGTGCCTTTTGCAGCTGCGCATGCGCCGCCACCGCGCGATCGGGACTTGCCGCAAGGAGCTGGTGGGTACTCTGTGGACACCACCTTCTATTGGGCGGGCCTGCGGCTCCGAGTCGACTCCCTATTGGCGGAGCGAGGCGCTCGTTCTGGGGAGGGTGGCGGAGATTGGGCGGGGCAGCTGGCGGTGGCTGCGGCTGTGGCGCCGAGGGAAGATGTCGGGTCGGGAGGCGCGCGACGCCAAGACGCTGGTGCGCTCCCCCAGCGGCCTGCGCATGGTGCCCGCGCAGCGCGCCGCGCGCAGCCCCTTCGGCCTGGACGAGCCGCCTTGGGTGCCGGACAAGGAGGTAACGGCGGAGGCTCCGAGCTGCTGTTCTGCAGTCTGCTCCGCGCCGCACCGCGCCCCCGCCCGATCTGCTGCTCTACTCCCTAGCCCGTGCTCCTGGTCTGCTCTGCTTTCTGCTCCCTGCCCGATCTGCTGCTTTGCTTCCTGCTCCCCCTCTGATTTGCACTGCTTGTTGCTCTGTGCCCTGCGTTCCCTGCCCGATCTGCCGCTCTGTTTTCTGCCCACCCCCACCGCTCCGTTCGCCCGATCTGCCGCTCTGCTTTTTGCTCCCTGCCCTTTGCGTCTGGTCTGATCTGCTCCGCTTTCTGCTCCCTGCCTGCCACCAAGCCCTGTGCTGCCTACTCACTTTGCTTTTTTTTTCCCCCTTGTCTCTGCTTTGCGCTCCCCATCCAGTCTGTTGCTCTGCTTTCTGCTCCCTGCCCTATCTGCCATTGTGCCACTTGTCCCCTTCCTGATCTTGCCACTCGCAAAGGCAGCCCCTGCCACAGGTTGGCCACCCCGGGAATAGGGAGTGTAGAGGAGTCAAGGGAGAGTCCTGCAGGGTTGCACCCCTTGAACCAAGTTTCTGTCACCGAAGCAGGTGCTGAGATGAAAGGGGTGTGATAGTAGAAAGCTCTTTAAAGGAAACATGGGTTGTGATTACATGAACTTCAAAACCAAATGTAGCTAATGTCTAAAGCAGCGATTCTCAACCTTTCTAGATTTGAGGGGTGCCTGAATCAATGGGTGCTTCAAGAGACTTTCATAGCTTCATTGATTCATAGATTAAGGGTCGGAAGGGACCTAGTAGATCTTCTAGCCCGACCCCCTGCCAGGGCACTTAAGGCACCCCTCAGAAAATGCCAGCTCTTAAGCTTTCACTCTTTTTTTTGACTACAGAAAAATAATAGAGCAATTCTGCTGCAAAGAGCTCAGAAAAAATGCAACAGGACAGAATGTTTTTAGCACTGAATTTAAAATCTCTAGGTTTATCTTGTGGATCACGTTTACATACAAAGCAGTGCTAACATTGCTGTAGCACCCCAAGTCACCACTGAGAAGTTCTGAAGGTACTTTTGGGTGCCACAGCCCTTGCTTGAAAATCATTGGTGTGAAGACTAGTCTCCAAGGGGAAGTAACTCTAAAGTAAATTGGGGTGACAGTTTGCAGCACACTGGTTTACTCTGCACTAACTGCAGACGCAGCAAGTGGGAAGTAGCTCATTCCATATTTGTGTATGTTTTTAATGCAGTTGAAAGTAAATCGCCCAAATATAATGTCAAAATGGGGAAGTGGGGGTCAAACTTGGTCAAAAATGCATTCAGGCCTGTATCTATGTCTGTGAATTAATTGCTAGTTGCTTGACAAGTGTTGCATCTAGAGTCTAATGAGCATAACTGTCTGTAATAAAAGAGATGAATGTAATCAGTAGTTTATACTGCCTTTTGTTACCAGCCTTTAACAGGGTGGATAATTGTATCCAGGGGTTGCTGATGGATACATGCCAACACCAGCATTTAGAAGACTTTGCTTTAGATAGTGCTAGACCAATATTTGCTTTCCTTGCCTGTTTCATTAAACACTACTGTGTTATTTGTTTTTGCTTCCAGCCCCAGAGGCTGGTATGGCTGGCATTTTTAATGAAGAACTCTTTCTTGAATACAGCATTTGAGGGGTTGTTGGCACTTGAGTCTTGTTGGACTAGCTATATTGGTTGGGAGCTTGGGGGGCGGGGAATCGCACCCCTACCTGAAAGCTGGACAGTAGGCAAAACCACAGTGTAGGTTTAGTTACGCTGGCAAACTTCTGCTGCTGATATAACTGCCTTAGTTTGGTGAACTGGAATACATTTTGCTGGTAAAAGGACTATTCTGTTGGTATAATCTGTGTGACTACTAAGAAGGTTTGGTGTTATAGTACCCTTCTGGTCAATACAGGGTCTTGTTTTTCTGGCCTCTTTTGGTTAGTTTGCCCAGCAGTGCAAGATACTTTGTTTTGTTTTGTCTTTTATCCAGCTTATTATTATTTATTTATTTATTTATTTATTCATTTATTTATTTGCTACCAAAAAAATCCTCTTGTTGACTCTTGAAAATGGTGGTTACAGTCCACTATAACTTTTCTGTGAGTATAGAAGCAGTGAACTGATTAAGTGTTTTGGGTAATATCAGCAATGGGTAATTCTTAAAATGCAGATGACTTGAGTTGAGGTAGATTCCCTCTTCCCCCACCCCTAACTTGCTTATACGGGTTATATATATTTTTAAAGCAAGATGGGGTGGATTGATTTGAATAATTGATCTTAATTTTGTTATTCCTTTTTACTTTTCTAGAGAGAAATTGATTCTCACTGGTTATTAAAGCATGCTGACTTGAAACTAATATAATTTAATACTACATGTGCTGACTAGGAATAGATTTGTTAATTTAAGCAATTATTTGTATTGATTTATAGTCTTAATGTTAACATATTTTATTGTAAAATAGGAAAATATTTTGTTAGAATAATGTGTGAAGCTTTGTTTGGATGGAAATCAGAATTCATTTCCTGTGGACAAAAACAGATTTTAGAGATTATTCTTAATTAAAACAGTCTTTAATGTAGAACAAAACTGTAAACCAGCTTTTGCTTTTCAAATTGACTTGTTTAGCAACGTATTGTCTGCAGTTAGTGAATTAAACTGACCACGCTGGATATTGTGTCATTCAGGGTCTTGGAACTAGCAGATGACAATCTCGTTCATGCAATCTTAATCGTGGCTTGGAAGACAAAAAAACAAGCTTAGCTGCTTTTTTTTTCAATGCTCAATCAGTTTCTCAACTTTGGGCTAGTTGTCAAACTAATTCTGTTCAATAAACTGAAAAGAAGAAATATTCTATTTTGCACCTGCAAAAGGGATTACTGCTGTCAAAAGTTGATGTAGCAACATTAGCAAACTCTAGTTCTAGCTAGTTCCAGCTGTTTGGCAAATGATTTCCATCAGTTTAGTGGATTATTCTTTTTCTTTTATTTTTTTCTTTAAACTTCAGTAAATATGTACTGACCAATGTATTTTAATAGATTATATTCATTTTGGCCCTTAACATGAGTTGTCATAATTTCACGTTTGAATGGGCTTATTTTTTAAATTGTGCATAATCTATGATTAAACAACACTATTAATCTCTCTTTAATGAAGGCATCTTCAGTGAGCTTGCAAAACCAGTTTTTGAGGGGGGGGGGTTTCTTTCCCCACTGTGTCTTCTACCAACAGAACTGAAATGGGTAGTGACAACTGTGAGGCACTGGGGTAGATAACAGCTTTCTAAGCAGTCATGTAGTCTTGTTGAGCAAGACTAAATGTGACACAGCTTAAAATACTGGTGGTAAGCGGTCTCTTGCCTAAACTTGAGCTCCCGGAGGTACTTGAGAGTGGAGCTGAAATAGTGGTAGTGGTGGTAGGAAATCTTGGTGAGGGGCTGCTGTGGTAATAGATATTACCTAACAAACTATCTGTAAGCAAACTGTGTTTTAGCTTTTGTTTGAGCCACACCAAAGCACTACTTTAAACTGTTTAACCTAGCAGCTCTCAACCTTTTTAGACTCTAGACACTCCTTGCTAGGCTCAAGGCACCCTTTGGAAAATGCCAGCTGTTAGTTTTCACTCTTCTCTTTTGATTGTGAAAAAATATTACAGCAATTTTTCTGTTGCAAAGAAATCAGAAAAACCACAGCAGGGCAGAATGTTTTTATCATTATACATTCCTA